ATGAATTTATAGGTCAACATATATTTGTTTCTTTGTAACACTTTAGTAATAACATTATTTTGTGATACTGTACGACTTGTATTTCTCACATATTTTAAATGTTCCACTTATGTGTTACAATATAGTGCCACTTTTGTAACATTTTACTAGTAACATTAATTTTGTGTTACTATAATCATTGTTAGTAACACATTTTTATAGAACAAACACATTGTGTTACAAACCTAGTCTGAAACATATTGTTTTGTGTTACTATGGAATTTTTTGGAACACATTGATGAATGTGTTATTACAAGAATGTTACAATATTTATGTTTTGTAGTAGTGCAAAATATCCCATGAAGATAGGTTGCATAAAAGAAATATCTTTTCCTAAAAAACAAACTGAGTATGAGTCGCAAGTTCGGATCATGGATAGAATAAATCAATTAGGACTATAATCTCTAATTTATCAACTGCTACTCTTAGTAAAACAGCTAGGACGATTGAAGAGTGGAAGGACCTGGATGGACCAAATCTTAGAGCAAGAAATTTTTACTCTTTAATTAATGTTATAAATACGTAAATAGATTTACAGCATCTCATGCTCGTTACCTTTTTCTCTTTCTTGGTCACCATCGCTTCTGTAACCGTCTGATGAGGAACTAAAGCTGGTGTGCCTGTCTACCTAGGTTGGCTAAATAAGCCTATGAAAGAAAAGCTAATATGGACACCTAGTAACTGCACATGCATGGGAGACGTGCCTGTTCTTTACTAGGTTTGGCAACGACGGACAGCCGCCGAGGTTGAACAGTGACGGCAGCCGGCAGGTGGTGGTGGCGGTTATTCCCTTTTTGCGTGGAGATGAGTCAGTGACATCTTCGAGAGTGTAACACCCTAAAATTTATTTTTTTTTGAAATATAGCTAAAATGATTTAATTTTATATTTTTGTGCTCATTAAATATAGGAAAAAAATATTTTTTATTATATTAAAATTCATCACAGGGTTTAGAAACATGGATGTGCATACATGCCGGTGCATTTGGTCTATTGCAATGAGTGGTTGAATCCAAAATTCAAAATGAATTTAAAATACTTTTGGAAATGAATGTGAAAATGGCTTTGAAAGGAAATTTTGAAAATAAAAGAATTTAAAAAGTTATAAAATTTATTTTTGGAAAACTTACCAAAATTGATCATTTTTATTTGAATTAAAAAGTGTATTTTAAACCATATTCAAAGTCAATTGGTTCATATTTGAATTTGGTTTTGTAATAAGAAAAGAAAATAGAATTCAGAAAAAAAAGAAAACGCGCCGTTTCTCCCTCTCTGTTCTCGGCCCAGCAAGCCGGCCCACTCTAGTTTTTCCGCCGCGGCCCGCTACCTCGCTCGGCCTCTCTTCTTCTCCCCGGTTCCCTCTCTCCGCAACGGGCCGGCCCAGCTACCCGCACCGCCCCACTTTCCCTCTCTCCCTCCCCTTGAGTGGGCGACGGGTGGGCCCGCTCTGTCAGCGTCGTAGTCTTCCTCTCCCATCCACGCCGGACTCTGCACCGCCGCCGTCGGAGTCCGCACCACCCATGCCTCGCCGCCTTGACCGTGCCTCCCAAGCCACCTGCTCTCTTAAATAGCCGCCGCCGACCGAGCCGCCTCTCCCCATCCCGTTATGAGCCACAGCCGCCTTGCCGAGACGCCACGCCACGCAAACCCTAGCGCCGTCGCCTCTGCCCAGAGCTCACAAGCACGCCGCAACCCTAGCTCGTCGTTGTCCGTCCCGCCAAGCCGCGCGCTGCCTCCATCCTCTCCGCGCCATTGTGACCTACCTTGGTGAGTTCGTCGTGTCTTCCTCATTCTCCCCATGCTTTCGGTTTGCTCTCCCGTGGTCTCTAGGGCCGTTTTCACAATCTTCGGCGAAGCGCTCGCCGTCGGTAATGGAGTCCGCCATGTCTGTCACTGTTCTGGACGGTCGGCTCTCCTCTCTCCCTCCCCTCTTCTAATCTGGATCGTCCATCTTTGATCCAACGGCCCAGATTAGGAGATACCCCTTCGGCCGACAGGATTTCAAAAGAGCCCCTGCAGTTTCGCGTAATAGAACCCGCCATCCCTGCAGTTTTTCTAAAGACCCCTGTCTTTCATCAAAATAGTATCCGCAATCCTTGGCCGGTTTAAAATCAGATTTTATTTATTTTTAAATTTGAAAATCAAGTTCCATCTATTTACAAAATTGTCACTATCTTCATTAGGCCCTATCTTCTCCGTTTTAACTCCGATTTGATCCGTTCAAGTTGCGTTAAATTCGTAATTGCATAATGTATATGTTTATCTTACTATTAAACATGTTTTCAACTTTTGAAATTCAAGGTTACATTTAATCTATTATTTTATTAAAGGAAATATTGTTTAATTCATAACTTCTTCGTTATAGCTCCGATTAGAGTGCTTTTCGCGTCTGTGTGTTCATAGCAACGTGTAGAATGTCTTTAAAACCTTTTTACCTATTGTTTATTATGTTTGGTGTATTGTTCTAATTTAGATGTATTGTTTGCTTCGTGTATGATTGCATGGATTCTTGTGTGGTGCTTTATGATCATATCCAGTCGATGAGCTATACGTGGTGAATCAAGAAGCAGATCTTTGAAGGCTTGGACTAGAAGAAGGATCTGAGTTTAAGTGTAGCATGGGATCTTCCTTATTGTCCTATACACCTTTAATCATTTAATTCATACTGCATGTGTCTACCTTAACTACCACTAAGGATATCCTAGTCTTTTGTACTTGTACCTTGATACCTATGGTGTATTGCATTGGGTAGTATGATGCCAGTGCTCAACTAAAGCCATGATTTTGTAACTTGACTAATGGTATATGCAATAAACATTAAAAGACGCTTTTTAGCAACATAGAACAAGGGGGCTAGAGCATTGGGCTGTTTCTATGGTGCTCTAGATTCTTCTCCCTAAGGACTTATCTATAAGTGATCATCCGGAACTTATAGTACAACGGTGAGGGCTATATGGCTCTAGTTTTAGCTCAATATGAGGACATTTTCTAGCTTGTTAGTGGTTACATTTGTTGGCGTAAGAATGGCTTGACGAATCAGGTATAGTGCGGCCTCTGTCCCCTTGTGTATAGGTTGTGTGCGTCATTGTGCCGTCGGGAAGGGGGGCTCTACATCTGTTTGCCGAGTGAATCTAATGGCCCTAACTTGTTAGACGAACCTTTGAAATGCTTCATAGTGAACCCTACCGATCTTCCTTGGAAGTGGGTCAAGAGATTTGCTACCTCGGGCGAAAGGAGTAAATCACGACTCATAGTGAAAGTGTACAACCTCTGCAGTGTGTAAAACTGGTATATCAGCCGTGCTCACGGTCATGAGCGGCCTTAGAACCCTTATGGAAATAGATGATGAACACTGATAATACTGATGATAAAGATGCTCACTAATGATTATCGTTTATGCTATTCATTATTCATGTTTACCTGATCATGTGTTTATATGGGCTTGTGAATAAACTTTTTGCCACCCAATTGCTAAAAGATGACTCATTAATAGCTAATTGCAGTTAAACCAGTGACAACCTTTTGAGCCTCATGAACCGCATGTTATATTTGTTGAGTACGACATGTACTTATGCTTGCTTTACTTTTTAAATCTTTAAAAAATCCCGGATGGGTACCAGATTGCTAGAATTTGGAGGAATTAGGCTTGTGATCAACCAATCAGTTGTTCCTATGGAATTGAAGTCTTCACCCGAAGATTGGAGTTGTCTTTCCATTATTTCCTGTCTACGGTTATATCCTTTGTACTAAGTATGTTATATATTAAGCATTGTCTATGGATATTACCTTTATTTGTAACTATATGTGAGATTTGACTTTCTGGGCTCACATATGGTGTGTATCTGGTTTTGTCCTTAAAACCCGGTGCGACAAAGAGTGATCACTGCATGTTCTTGGCGGGCAGCACGTGGTCGCGCATGACCGCCATAATAACGAGGCCATCGATGAGAGGGTCATGCTGCACATGACATGAGAGAAGACTTAGTATGGTGGATTTCCTAATTTCTCCATCTTCTTTGGGTGCTTTCTTTAGTAGATAATATTGTTGACAACCAAAATTATCCATTTTATGAAGTTGTCAAAATATGCAACGGACTTTGCCATTGCGTTCCTCTCGTCAAGACGGTCAAAAAAACATATATGGAATGTCTAATTCGGAGTCTGGATGAAGGAGTTGTTCCCTTAAGAAAATCTCACCCTACCAGAACTTCTGACCCCGTGTCAGAACATCTGATTTTTGCTTGGAGGTTCTAAGTTTGTGCGAAAATTAGAACTTCTGACCCCTATCAGAACTTCTGATTTTCTCCTAGAAGTGCTGGCTTTGTTCGGAAATTAGAACTTCTGCCCCCGTTAGAACTACTGATGTTCTCCTATAGGTGCTGGCTTTGCGCGAAAATCAGAAATTCTGACCCCCTGTTAGAACTTCTGATTTTTGTAGTCTGAATCAGGGAGAGTCCAAACTTGATCCCAACTCTTCCAAACTCATGGGAAACTTGGAGATTAAGTATTGGAGAGGTTTCCTATTGGGATAAGATCACCCCGTCTATATATATGAGAGGATCATGGCCGATTGAGTTCTCATCTATCCAATCGTCATACAAACCAATCTATCAACTCCTTTTGCCCTAATTCCCCTCTCTCAACCCCTCTTACTGTTCGTTGAGTTTCCTAGAGAGATTCAATGACATTCTAGGCGGCCTTGCTGGTCCTAGGAGATCCTCCACGTGCTCCTCCCCGATTGGTCTTCCCAGGAGAAGTTCGGGAGCTTTACTGGCCGAGAACAGGCTCTACATCGGTCTCTAGATCGGTTTAATTGATTACGCCATGTTCTTGCTGCGTTGTAGGTTGTGTGCAACCTCTTTGGGCATCCAAGGCCCTGCTGGTGTGTTGGCTTACGTCAACATACTTTTTGGCAAATCTGCTGGGGACAGCGAAGCGAATCAAAAATCAATCTACTAGCAACATGGGAGGCAACAATGGTGCTGCCACCGACAAGGGTGACAAGAACAACCCATTCAATGAGGCTAACATGATCTTTCCTCAAAATATGTATGAGCTTCCAGATGAGTTACGCCAGAAGCTACAAGCCAAGCTTGATGCCGATGTTAAGGCTTTCTTGGAGAGCTGCACCAAGAATCGGCACGACAAGGTTACTCAATTCCGTGAACCCATCTACGGTGATGCTACTACTTCCACATCTTCAGGCGCAAGGGAGAAGGGAGATGGAAAAGCTAAGTATGATGAGGAGGTAAATATTGATGCTTGTCCTAATCATGCCAATTTTGCTCAGAAGTTGATAGATGAAAGGAAATTACATAATAATAATCTTCAGCATCTTTCTAATCTACTTCAAGCACGTACGGATAAGTTAGAGGGCAAGACAACTGATTGTGATCAATCGGGTGCCGTGCAACAACCTCAATTCGGTATGCCTTTGAATTTTTATGAAAATCAAACCTCTCATGCTTCCGCTAGCCAATTTCAATCGGCCCCTTCAGCATCTGAAACCGATAAGGCCAGTCAATCTGGTGCTAGCACGTCTACACATACAGGTGCTGGTGCACAAAGTTTGGGTCGAGCTCTTCGAACTGATTATGGAGCATCAACAAATAGAGCTTCGGCGGGGCATAATGTTTTACCAAACCCACCGAAGTCACCTAGTCAAATTCCTACATTTAATGTTACTCCTAATGCTCCAACTACTGATTTTGATGATGCTTTGAATCGGTTTAAGGATGAATTGGCTAAATCTCTTGAGAGTAGTTTAGGAGTGCAGCTTAAATCTATTAGGAATACTTATCAAAAGTCGTACCATTCTACTTATGCTTTCATGAAAGCACCTGATGGGTGGAGGATACCTGACTTTTAAAAATTTAGTGGTGATGAAAGTAAATCAACCGTGGAGCATATTAGCATGTTTCTTGCACAATTGGGTGAAGCTAGTGCTTATAATTTTATGGAAGTTCATAATTTTCCTTTATCTCTTACTGGCACAGCTTTTGCATGGTTTACGTCATTACCATACTATTCTATTAGTTCATGAGCTGAATTAGAAGAGAAATTTCATAATCACTTTTATAGCGGTGCTCATGAAACTAGATTGTCTCACCTTGCATCGGTTCATCAAGGGCATGATGAGTCCGTCCATGATTTTTTCAAACGATTTAGAGAGATTAAGAATCGATGTTTCCATTTAAATATTTCTGAAAGATATTTAACCGATTTATGCATTGTTGGTTTATGTTCTAGTGTTAGAAAAAAGCTTAAGCATTATGAGTTTCACAATATTAATCAACTTATGCAAAAGGCCGTTTCAATTGAATCGCGCCTTAAAGAGTGTCGTGATGCTTATAAATCTCATCGTCAGAATGTGCATTTTGTTGGTGACTGTTTCGATGATTCTGATGATGATAATAAAGAATGTTTAGCTGCTAAAATTAAATGGCCAGCAGAGAATAAATTGGTTACTTGTCCTTCTCTCAAGCCGATTCATAAAAATCTTTGATGAATTGTTAAAATTCGGTTATATTAGAATCAATTATACATCGCCTTCAGCTAATGAGTGAGAAGGGCTTATTGCAAATATCATAATTCTTTTTCTCATGCCACTAATGATTGCAATGTTTTTTGTCGGCAGGTCCAATCTGCCCTTAATGAGTGACGATTGAGTCTTACTGAAATGCAAGTTGATAAGACCCCTTTTCCCATGCACATGGTTGAAGCAAGGGCGCCCACTATTTTGATTCATCCAGAGCAAGCTAATAAAGCCCAAGGCAAGAACATGATTATCGGCGAACCACGTATAGCACCAAATGTCAAAACGAATTCGCAAAGTGGTGCTTGAGAAGGATGATAAAGGCAAGAACAAGTTAAAGATCACTGTTGGATCAACGCAATATTTGAGAAGGCAGTGGTGGTACGAAACAATGGTGGCATAGTAGAGGCTCGGCTAGGCCGACTCCACTAGTTGGCCAAGCCAACTCCAGCACATAGTAGGGCCAGTCGGCAGAGTTGACTCATAGAGTTAGCTTAGCTAACTCTGCCACCACCCTAGCCAAGTCGCCTGAGCCAATTGTGCCAGTCGGCTTATCCAACTCCCCTGGTTCCAATAGCTTCAGTGCCTCTGGTATTTGTGTTTTGCGCACATTTGTTCCATAGCGACCGGAGTTTGGCACCTAGAAGACCAATGAGAAGAAGAACTAGGGAGAGTTTGTGAAGAAACAATGCACCTTTGACAGGCTCATGACCAAGTATAAGCAACAGAAGTCTGATTCCTAGAATCGGCCGTTAAAAAAAGAGAGTCTACTCCACCTAAGTGGGAAGATGACAAGATCAAGCAATTGGCGGTGGTGCAACCAACAACTCCGTCTCAGAGAGTTCTTCCTCGTGTATCTTGTTGGGGTCCCCCGATTCTGCCTCTGGTTTTGCCACAATGGGGTCCCTATGAGGTTTGGGTGCCATATCCTCCGGCAGCGCCTATGCATAGTCAACAAAGGTGGGGAGAGCCTACTGGTCAAGTCTCAAGGACCTCCATGATTAGCCATTTGAATAATGGTCAATCGAGCTCTGGTGGTGCAAGTCAAGATCGTGTGATTACTTCCAGGACTCTGACTCCACAGGAATCGAAAAAGGCACCAATGCAGCAAGTCTATGTGCCTAAGAAGGTTGGGGTTCCTATTGTTTCCCCACAAAGAGCCAGGCCTCAATCGGTCATCACAATCAGCTCCATGGAAGCTCCTGTCATTAATCATGATGGGTCGATTGTAATTGAAGAAATTCCAGCATCTAAGCAAGATGAAGCTACCAAAGATGTTGCTAGAATTGAAGAAAAGAAGAGCTTCAAAGGAGATTCTAAGTATCGGCAACCCATATGGTGTCCTCATGGGTTGAATAAAACTCAAAGGCATAAGTTGTAGCGTGCCTGACATAAGCAACAGAAGAGGGAGAAGCTTGCCAAGATGGAGGGTGAAATTCTTAACTCCGCACACGTCAAAAATCCTTTGGAAGGTCAGAACGCCGCTACTGCTGCTGGCCAGTCGGCTGAGCTGACTCCTATGCTGAGTCAGTCGGCTAAGCCGACTTTGCTTGCCCCTGTCACCCTGGATGTGCCATAGTCAGCTAAGCCGACTTCCCATGCTGATGCTGCTCTAGGAAGCCCAGAGTCGGCTAAGCTGACTTCAGACTCTTGCTGTCCCGTGCCTACGAGGTGTCCTCCAATGATTTTGCTACTACCGTTGCTGCCCTATTTGGCATGGAGGTCCCTAAGGTTTCCGATGAGGAGATGGTTGACTATGAGGCACCCCGAAACAAGGGGAGATCAATGTGGTTGTTTTGTCTGCCGATTACTACATCATAGCAGATGACTCTACGGCGGTGGAATTTATCTTCGCAACGGAGAGCATTGTGTTTTAGAAGCTAGATGACTCTGTCAACCATCTCAAGCTTCTACATGTGAAGGGCCATATCAATGGTACACCAGTCCATAGCATATTGGTGGACAGTGGGGCAATAGTGAACTTGATGCCATATCCGCTTTACAAGAACCTCGGTGGCACTGATGAGGAGCTGATCAAGACCAACATGATGATCAACGGTGTTGGAGGAGGTGCTCCCATCCCAGCCAGAGGAGTTGCTAACATGGAGCTCACCATTGGAAGCAAGACTTTGGCTATGGCATTCTATGTCGCCGACGTGCAAGGTAGCTATAATTTGATTCTTGTGCTTGATTGGATTCATGCCAATCGCTGCATGTCATCTAGCTTGCACCAATTTCTCATCTAATGGGTGGGAGATGCTGTTGAGGTTGTGCATTTAGATTCATCGGCTGATGTTGCTGCAGCCGATGCTGCTATGCTCGGGGGGCATGATGCTATTGCTTGCTTGTCTAGTAGAGACCTTTCTAGCTTTGAATTTATTAGTGTTACCAGGCAAGGTTTTGTTCCTATGTCCTTGAAGCCGATTGATAATCGGCTCAATATCATCATGTAATCATTATAGTAATGGATGCCAACGTTGAAAGGTTAAAACATCATGTTGAACAGTATCGAGCTAATAAGACCGATGCTTGTGAAACTATTGATGATTTTGATGAGCTTGATAAGTTGGGCCAAGGTTTTACGTTGGCTGACCCTTTGGAACAAGTTGATATTGGGGATGGCTCTATGCCCCGACCGACGTTTATTAATCAAAACTTGGAAGCCGATTACAAAGTTGAGTTAATCGCGCTTCTCAAGGAATATATTGATTGTTTTGCATGGGATTATATAGAGATGCCTGGATTGAACCGAGAGCTTATTGAGCATCGGCTCCCCATTAAGAAAGGATTCAGGCCTTTCAAGCAAAACCCCCGCTGATCTAATTCTACAATTTATGATAGGATTAAAGAAGAGATTAATCGGCTATTGCAAGCGGGGTTTATTCAGCCATGCAGGTATGCGGAGTGGGTCTTTAATATTGTGCCTATTGAGAAGAAGGATTCTGGGAAGATCAGAGTCTGTATTGATTTTAGAGATCTGAATAGAGCTACTCTAAAAGATGAATATCCTATGCATATAGCCGAAATGCTTATCAATGATGCCCCAGGACACCGGGTTATTAGCTTTCTTGATGGTAATGTCAGTTATAATTAGATTTTCATGGCTGAGGAAGACATGTCTAAGACGGCCTTCTGTCTTGGGTTTGTTGGTCTCTTTGAGTGGGTTGTGATGATGTTTGGGCTGAAGAATGCAGGTGCTACTTAACAAAGAGCTATGAATTTGATTTTCCATGATCTAATTGGGGTGATTATGGAGGTATACAGTGATGATATTGTGATTAAATCGGCTACCCATAAATCTCATTTGGCCGATTTGCGTCTTGCTTTTGAGAGGATGCACCGCTATGGATTGAAGATGAACCCACTCAAATGTGCTTTTGGAGTATCGGCTGGAAAGTTCTTAGCCTTTATTATTCATGATAAAGGCATAGAGGTTGATCCCAAGAGGATAGAGAAGATCAAGAATGTTTAGGCGCCTACATGCAAGGACTTGCAAAAGTTCTTAGGGAAGATGAACTACTTGAGAAGATTTATTGCTAACTTGTTCGGGAAAATTATTCCTTTCACCCCCATATTGAAGATGAAGGAATAATCTAAATTCACTTGGGGGGGCAAAGCAACAAGAGGCGTTTGAGAAAATAAAGGAATATTTGTCAACACCACCGGTTCTTCGTGCACCTAAAAGAGGAGTTCCTTTCAAATTATATATTGCCATCGAAGATAAGATAATCGGGGTTGTTTTGACTCAAGAAGATGAAGGTATAGAACATGTGATTGCTTATCTTGGCCGCCGTCTTCTTGATGTTGAGACAAGGTATGCCCATATAGAGAAATTATGCTTATCATTGTACTTTGCTTGTGCTAAGATGAGACATTATCTTTTGTCTAGTGCATGTGTTGTTGCTTGCCAGGCCGATGTGATAAAGCACATGTTATATCGGCTAATTCTTCATGAAAGGATAGGCAAATGGGCATACGCACTAATAGAATATGACTTGACTTTTGAACCATTGAAAACATTGAAGGGTCAAGTTCTTGCTGATTTTATTGTTGAGCATGGTATTGATTTAGATGATGAAGTCAATTATCTTACTTTTACTCCATGGAAATTATACTTTGATGGATCGGTTTGTAAAGATGGCCAAGGTGTTGGTATTATTCTTGTTTCTCCTAATGATGCTAAAATTTGGATGTCAAGCCGATTAGATTTCTCTTGTACCAACAATCAAACCGAATATGAAGCTTTATTATTTGGGTTGATCATGTTGCGGTCCATGGAAGTAAAACATGTTGAAGCCTATGGTGATTCCTTGCTAGTGGTATAGCAAGTTGCTGGTAAATTTCAATGTTTAGAAGGATCACTAAGAGCTTGTCTTGATGCTTGCCTTGATGTTATTGACTAGTTTGCCGATTTCCTAATTCGGCATATTATAAGGTATGAAAATCAACAAGGCCAACATGTTAGCTTAACAAGAATCTGGCTATGACATCGGTGTGCATAATTTCCATATTCAAGAATAGCCGATGCATGAAAATTTCAATTTTTCCCATGCAGGTGCGGACCAGTCGGCTAAGCCGGCTGCCTAGTCGACCAAGCTGACACCTCCAAGTTGGCTAAGCCAATTGCCCTAGTCGGCTCAGCCGACTCCCCTATGACCAGCCCGATCAATTCACCCAAGAAGCTACCAAATCGGCCTGATGTAACTTCTAGTGATGTTGGGGCTGATTTAGACGATTGGAGGACTCCCTTGTTGAGATATCTATGTGATCCAAGTGCTAAGGTTGATAAAAGTGTTCAACAGAGCGCTTTCAAGTATGTGTTGCATAATGATGAACTCTATCGGAGAACCACCGAAGACTTGCTGCTTAAGTGCTTGGGATCAGATCAGGCAAGAGTGGCTATGGGAAAAGTTTATGAAGGCATTTGTGGTACTCATCAATCAACCATAAAGATTAAGTGGTTATTGCATAGAGCTGGTTTTTATTGGCCTACTTTGATGGTCGATTGCTTTTGTTACTACAGAGGATGCGAAGAATGCCAGAAGTTTGGAAATATTCAGCTTGTGCCTGCTGCTATGCTTCATCCTATCATCAAACCATGGCCTTTTATGGTTGGGGGCTAGACTTCATTGGCCAAATACGTCCCCCATCTTCAAAGGGATACCGATTTGTGTTTGTTGCTATGGATTACTTTACTAAGTGGACCGAAGCAGTTCCTTTGAAGAATATGACTCACAAGGAGGTAATTGAGTTCATCACTGAGCATATTATTCATAGATTCGGCATCTCTCAAATGTTAACTATAGATCAAGGGACCTCATTTGTGTCCAAAGAGGTGAGGGAATTTGCTGAATCATATAAGATCAAGTTGCTTAATTCATCTCCATACTGCTAATGGCCAAGCTAATTCTAGTAATAAGAATTTGATCAAGCTCATCAAAAAGAAGATTGAGGAGAATCCAAGGAGGTGCTATGAAGTTTTGTCTGAGGCTCTATGGGCACATCGCATTTCAAGGCATGGTGCTACAAAGGTTACTCCTTTTGAGTTAGTATATGGTCAAGAGGACGTGTTGCCTGTCAAGGTGAATTTGGATGCATATAGGCTTACTAAACAAAATGATCTATCAACTGTTGTGTATCATGATTTGATGATGGATAACATAGATGAGGTGATTGATAAGAGATTAAAAGCTCTCAAGGAAATAGAGAAAGATAAAGCTCGAGTTGCCAAAGCATACAACAAGAAAGTCAAGAGCAAATCCTTTCAAGTGGGAGAATTAGTATGGAAAACCATACTACCAATTGGATCGAAGAGCAATCAGTTTGTCAAGTGGTCACTAAATTGGGAGGGTCCTTACAAAGTGATCAAAGTCATATTCGATAATTCTTATTTGCTAGAGTCATTACAAGGTGAATGTCTCACAAGAGCAATCAATAGGAGGTATTTGAAAAGGTACTTTCCAAGTGTTTGGCAAGAAGCCTAAGTGCTATCTGAACAATGGCCGATACATGTATCGCCCTTAGAACAAAAATGGCGGATGTATACATCGCCCTTAGTTGCTGAGCAGGCGATAAGATGGGTATCATCACTGCTTGGCTTTGTTTTGTTTGATTAAGTATTTTTAGGTTTATGCACCATTCACCTAAAAATAGGGGGGCATATGTTGACAACCAAAATTGTCCATTTTGTGAAGTTGTCAAAATGTGAAACAGACTTTGCCATTGCGTTCCTCTCGTCAACACGATCAAAAAACATATATAGAATGTCTAATTTGGAGTCTAGATGAAGGAGTTGTTCCCTCAAGAAAATCTTACCCTACCAAAACATCTAAGCCCTTGTCAGAACCTCTGATTTGCACTTGGAGGTTCTGAGTTTGTGCG